ACCCGCCCTTTTCGTCTTCGATCGAACCCCCTTTGGGGAACATGCCTTTCTTCCCTGCAGGCCGGGCCCCGGCAAGCGGCGGGGCGGCCGCGGACCGTCGGCCTGGCCAGCGGCAGCGCTGATCGGCGGGGCGGCCGCGGACCGTCGACCCGACCCCAAGAGGGACGGACAGGACGACGACGACGACGACGACGACGACGACGTCGACGACGACGGCAACGACGGCGACGGCGACGACGACGACGAGCGAAAGCGAGAGCGAGAGAGAACGACAGCAGAGCCACGAAGGACACGAAGTAGGCCACGAAGGGCGACAGCGGGGACACGAAGGGAATGCGTATGGGGCCACGAAGAGCGCGAACGAGCGTGGGCCACGAAGGGCAGATAATGCGGGGCCACAGAAGGCAACGATGGGGCCACTGAGGGTAGCACCTGGGCCACGTAGGACAATGAGAGGGCCACAAACGGCGACAGCGGGGCCACGAAGGGCATGCACATGGGGCCACAACGGGCGCGAACGAGCGGGGGCCACGAAGGGCATACGTATGTTGGGCCGCGGAGGGTACGGACGGGGCCACTGAGGGCAGCAACGGCGACACGAAGGGCAGCGAGGGGGCCACGAAGGGCGACAGCGGGGCCACAAAGGGCATGCATATGGGGCCACCACGGGCGCGAACGAGCGGGGGCCACAAAGGGCATACATATTTGGGGCCACGAAACAAAGCGAGGGGGCCACGAAGGGCTGCAACGGGGCCACGAAACAAAGCGAGGGGGCCACGAAGGGCTGCAACGGGGCCACGAAGGGCAGCAACGGGGCCACGAAGGGCAGCGAGGGGGCCACGAAGGGTTGCAACGGGGCCACGAAACAAAGCGAGGGGGCCACGAAGGGCTGCAACGGGGCCACGAAGGGCAACGAGGAGGCCACGAGGGGCTGCAACGGGGCCACGAAACAGCGAGGGGGCCACGAAGGGCTGCAACGGGGCCACGAAGGGCTGCAACGGGGCCACGAAGGGCAGCAGGGGGCCACGAAACGGGGCCACGAAACAAAGCGAGGGGTCACGAAGGGCTGCAACGGGGCCACGAAGGGCAACGAGGGGGCCACGAAGGGGCTGCAACGGGGCCACGAAACAAAGCGAGGGGGCCACGAGGGGCTGCAACGGGGCCACGAAGGGCAGCGAGATCCCGATCCCTAGGTAATCTGTGAAGGAGTCCTAAGCGTGAGCGCGACTCCAGGGTGCCTGGGTGTCGGGAGCGCGGCGCTGGAGTAAATTGCAAGAAATTCCAACGCAAGGGCGCTATTCTTCAGTAAATTGCAAGCAAGTCTCCAGCGAGAGCGCGACTCCAGAGCGCAGGAGGAGCGATTCCTGAATAAATCGTAAGGAAGTCCAAAGCGAGAGCGCGATTCTTGAATAAAATGCGAGGAAGTCTCGGGCGGGAGCGGGGGTCCTGGCTAAAGTGTGAGGAGGTCTCAGGCGGGAGCCGTTGTTGTTGTAACCCGGGGGCCAGGGGGCCAGTTTGAGCAGGAAGACTTTCCTTGACAAAAAAACAAGGTGCGAGCCCCGGGGAGGGCACTTCAATTTAAAAAAACAACGTGCACCGGTGAGGGGGGGATCAACAATAGATTTTCTTCAAGAATGAGAGTTCAACAACAACAACAACAACAACAACAACAACAACAACAACAACAACAACAGCAACAGCAACAGCAACAGCAACAACAACAACACTAGCAGCAGCAGCAACAGCAGCAGCAGAAGCAGCAGCAGCAACAAGAACAACAGCAGAAGCAGCAACACCGACAACCACAACAACACCCACAATGCCAACAACAACAACAACAACAACAACAACCACAACAACACCAACAGCAACAACCACGACGACGACGAAGACGACAACAACAAACAACAATAACAGCACCAACAACAACAACAACAGCAACGTCAACATCGTAGCATCAGCATCATCATCTGCACCATCATCATCAGCAGCATCAACATCATCAGCATCATCATCATCAGCAGCACCATCAGCACCATAATCACCATCATCAGCAGCATCATCACCATCATAAGCAGCATCAACATCATAATCTGCAGCCACATCCACAGCACAATCGGCATGAGCAGCAGCAGCATCAACATCATCATCAGCAGCAGCATCCTCGTCATCCTCATCCTCAGCACCCTCATCATCAACATCATCAGAATCCTCATCCTCATCATCATCATGAATGTCATCATCATCCTCATCATCGTCATAATAATCAGAAACAGCATCACCATCATCATCAGCGTCATCAACATCAGCACCATCATCGGCATCATCAGCAGCATCAGCATCAGCATCAGCATCAGCATCAGCATCAGCATCAGCATCAACATCAGCATCAGCATCAGCATCAGCATCAGCATCATCAGAAGCATCATCAGAAGCATCATCAGCATCCTTATCATAATCATCATCATCAGCATCAACATCATCATCAGCAGTAGCATCTTCATCGAACGACGTGCAGATCGCAACGAGGCGCACGGAAGCGCCAAGGGCAGAGGAGCACAGAACGGCGATCACAGAAGGCGCGACTTGCGTCCGCGGTGGGAAAATCCCGCTGCTATCCGTTCCAGAGGGCCTCGAGGGTCCGCCGTCTGTGGCCTCGCCACAGCCCGCGCTGCCCGATGGCCTCGCCATCTTCTCTCACGCCTCTCACCAGGTCACGCGCGTGGTCCAGCGCCGCCAGCGCCTCCTGGAACCCCTTCGCCACCTCGCTGGCTGCTGGGTGCAGCCCGAGCGCCCCCGGCGCCGCTGGAGCGCCAGCGGCGGCGCTCAGGAGCCCCAGCTCGGCCTTGGCAGCCTGGGCCCTGCACCGCACCTGGCACAGCTCCCGGCGGACCCCGTCCAGCTCCCGGCGCAGGCCCTCTGCCTCTGGGCCGCCGCGCCCTCCGGCCACCAGCGCTCGAGCCGTGCAGGCGCTCCCGGAAGAGCCGCCCTGCTCGGCGGCCGCCACGATGCTGCTGGCCTCCCGCTGGAACTCCTCCGACGAGAGCCACCTGAGCGACGAAAACAAACGAGTCTTGCGCGAGCTTGCAAAGCGACCTTACGCCGCTGCTTACGCGGGCCGCCAGCGCGGCACGCCAGGATGGAAGCGAGGGCGCTCCCGCGCGAACTCACGCGGGGAGCTCACGCGCCGATGCCGACAAAGACGAACCCGCTTCCTTCCGTCGCTCACCTCTCCCTGCTGCCCACGACGGTGGTCTTCCGGCGAGCGCACTCCTCCTCCTCCCCAAGCCTCGGCGCTTGCCCGGCCGCCGGCGCCAAGACGCGCACCACGACGTCCACGCGGGCCGGCTCGCGCGCGTCGACCACGACCAGCGGCCGAAGGTCAACTTGCTCAGGAACCACGCCGATGACCTGGTCGGCCAACTCCTACAAGCGATCGACATGTTTTCGTGTTCGTATTATGTTATTGTGTTTCCCCACATGTTTCGTGGGGTTCTGGTTTTTTCCCTGCCGCGCCGCACCCGCGTCTCACACCTCCCCCCTCCCCTTCTCCTTCTCGCACCTGAGCGGGTGTGCAGGGGGGTGGTCCCTGAGCTCGGCCGCTATGCACGACGGTCGTGGCAGGCGTGGCATTTCCTCGACGCCACAGGGGGTGCGCTGAGGGTGGGGGCCCTATGCGCTGCAGGCTCCCAGGGCGTGGCAGGCGTGGCATTTCCTCGACGCCGCAGGGGGTGCGCTGGGGGTGGGGGCCCTATGCGCTGCAGGCTCCCAGGGCGTGGCAGGCGAGGGGGTGCGCTGGGGGTGGGGGCCCTATGCGTTGCAGGCTCCCAGGGCGTGGCAGGCGTGGCATTTCCTCGACGCCGCAGGGAGTGCGCTGGGGGTGGGGGCCCTATGCGCTGCAGGCTCCCAGGGCGTGGCAGGCGAGGCATTTCCTCGACGCCACAGGGGGGGCGCTTGGGCTGGGCCCTATGCGCTGCAGGCTCCCAGGGCGTGGCAGGCGTGGCATTTCCTCGACGCCACAGGGGGTGCGCTGGGAGGTAGGAGGAGGAGGTACAGGAGGAGGAGGAGGAGGAGGAGGAGGAGGAGGACGGGGAGGTGGGGCAGCAGCAGCGGCAGCAGCAGCAGCAGCTGCAGCAGCAGACGCAGCAGCAGCAGCAGCAGAAGCAGCAGCATCAGAAGCAGCAGCAGGAGGAGGACACCGAGGAGGAGAAGGAGGAGCAGCAGCAGAAGCACCGATGGTACACATGGGAAATGAAATAGGTATGTGGGGTTCCTCGGTAGCGTAATTATATTTTTCTGTTGATCGAAATTCTATCCATGCTCCTGCTCACGCCCCGACCCCACCAGGGGCCAGAGCAGGGGTATGGATGAGCTGTTGGCCTCCGAGGCCACGTTTCTGTGAACCCCACACCCTGCTACACCTGGCGCCAGGGGTGAGGGTTAGCAGCAGGGATAGGGTTAGGTCGGGCATGTCCTCCAACAGGCAGACCTTGGGAGAAAACTATATAATACTCAAAAAATAATCAAATTATCCTGGCGAAGGACCCTACCATATGCAGTTGTGAGTAGCGCAGTTGTTGGTATCGTCTTCGGTGGAGCTCTTTATGGAGCACGAAACGTGTGAGGGTTGTGCCAACATAGGTGCGGTGGTGTCATGCGAGCGAAGCCACAGGGAGTTTCGGTGGAGCTCCCCATGGGGCCACGAAACGTTTGAGGGGTGTGCCGAAATGGGTGCGGTGGTGTCATGCGAGCGCAGCCACAGGGGCCTTCGGTGGAGCTCCGTGTGGGGCCACAAGACGTGTGAGGAGCGTGCCGACATGGTTGCGGTGGTGTCATGCGAGCGCAGCACCTGAGGCATTCGGTGGAACTCCCTATGAGACCACGAAACGATTGAGGGGTGTGCCGAAATGGGTGCGGTGGTGTCATGCGAGCGCAACCACTGGGGCCTTGGGTGGAGCAGGGAGGAGGGAGCAGGGGGAGGGAGCAGGGGGAGGGAGCAGGGGGAGGAGGAAGGGAAGGAGGAGGAGAGAAGAGGAGAGCACGGGGACCGTCTCTTCAAAACGAGGACCCAGCACCACAGGATGGTGGGGGGGGAAACAAAAAACAAGAAAAAACAACAACAACAACAACAACAACAACAACAACAACAACAACAACAACAACAACAACAACAACAACAACAACAACAACAACAAAATCGTCCCGAGACTAATGTTAAAACATATGTTTGAATACTCCTCTTGCAGAGGGACGTGCCCGACTTACGGGTAGGAATCGGAACGCCGCTCGCCGATCCTGCAGCTGCTGCAGCTTCTGCGTCACGGCCTCGGCGTCGAGCTGCGCGCCGGAGTCGTGGCTGTCCCGCCCCAGCAGCTGCAGGACGCACCCAGCTTCGCCCCCCGAGCCCTGCGCACGGCGCGCAAGCACCGTCGCGGGGTGGCTCTCGGCGTCGGCGTCGGAGCGCGCGGACGTCTTGGACGACTTTCGCGCTGATCTGCGGGAGCTCGATCTTGTCTGGTCGGGGGAGTCCGGGTCGCTCTCCGAGTCCTGGCCGTCCCATTCCTCCCAACTGCCATCGTCCGAGTCGTCGTGAAGGGCCTTACCCGGAAGCCCCCCACTCATGACCATCGTCCTCCTCCGCTCGGCCATCGCAGTATCCTCGCTGCGAGCGGCCTCGTAGTCCTTGTCAGAGGTCAACCCCATTCTTGCCATGTAGCGGGCTTGCTTGTCGATTTTCTCCTGCATGTCCTTCAACCTGGCATCTTGGTCTGGGTCATGCCGCTGCTCCTGAGCCATCTGCACTTTCGCCTTCAGGGCTTCCACCTCCTCACGCAACGCTTGCTCCAGCGTCGCTGTGCTCAGAACATTGGCTGTCGCTGCTGTTTGCACCTGCTTCACACTCTTTGCGAAGTTCAGCGTGGAAAGCGTCTCTTCATAGTCAGCGAGTGATGGAGATATTGCCGCCATCATCACAGTCTTCGAATTTCCGCAGAGTGATTCCTTCAGGATGTGTGTCAGCTTAGATGTACGAAACGGAGGATTGGCCGCCTTTTTCTTAGATGAATCCGCCAGCGCGGAGATCACGCGTGCGAGGGTGGAGAGGCTTTGGTTAATGGCCGCGCCCTCCTTCAAGCGGTCCCCTGCTGCCTGCGTGCGCTTCTGCCGTTCAGACCCGGCCAGGTCCACCAGATGGGTCTGGGACAGCTTCACCTGATCACCAGAAATGAGGTTCGTCTTGAAGGAGAAGATACAATGGCTCCGGCTGCTGGTCGCGTTCATCGCCGTCGCGGAAGTGCGGCGGTTGGAGGTTCCATAATCCACGAGATCCAGAACCTCTGTGCAATTCTCGACTACAGACTGAGTGAGGCCCGGCACGATGATACCAAGAATCGGGTGCTCCCGCACAGCGAGTTTGACCTTCGAGTCCACGGTCTCGTCAGACGCGAGGAGGTCCCTCAGCTTCTCGTTGTAGATCTCGACGAAACTCACTACCGCCTTTACCGTGACGCCCTCCTCCAGCTGGGTGAATCTCTCGAACAGCCCCTCCACCACACGGGGCAGCAGGCCCCGCTGCTCGCCCTGGCCGCCGAGTACGCTGTAACTCTTGCCGCTCCCAGTCTGGCCGTAGGCGAAAATACAATTGTTGAAACCGGCCACGGCATTCTCGATCATCTGGCACCCGACCTCGTCGTGCAAAGTCTGCTGGGTCGCGTACAGCGGATGGTCCTCGCTGAAAGACCAGAAACAGCGATCGTACTCGAAGCCCCGAGCCGGCTCGTCCCCCCTCTTGATGTGCATCGAGGTCGTCCGCGGCATCTCCACGCAGCACCTCTGGCGAAACCAAGAGATACCGGTACCGCTGTTCCCTGGACGCCCCCCCCCCCAGGGTGCATTCTGGCCAGGATGTCGAGGCGAATCCAGCCGTGGCGGCCGGGGCCTCCCACGACGCCCAAAGAGGCGAAGGCGAGGCAAGGGCAGCGGTGTCGGTACCCGTTTCCCCCCCTGAACCTCAGGACGTCGGGCCCGCCCCGGTCGCCGGTCTTCTCCTCCGCTATCCAGCACCGGACCCTCACACACACACGGATGCGCGGCTCGTCCTGGTCTGGATGACTATTCGGCCGCAGCGACGCGTCGCCCTTATGGGCAGCCACATGTGAAGAACCCTACCCCTGCAGATCAGAGCTCTGAAAAACCAGGGGGGGATCAGAATTCGGAGAATCTCTGCAGCCGAGCGAACCCCAGCGGGGGTGCCCGATACCCTAGCGTCGATTGGACCCGTAGGGGTAGAGTTCGCAAGTGGTCGCCGACCGCCCTTGCCGTTGCGAGCTTAAGGGCTGCTGCCGTCCCTCGACTCGCGAAGGAGCGGCCAGGATGTGCTCCGAATGTCCTTGGAGACTACCCGGATTCACCCAGATTTACCTGGATTTGCCAAGATGCACCCAGATGTGTTTGCGTATACCTCGATGTACCCAGCCAGCCTGCTCCTCACAAGCCGATTGGCGAAAAGCCGTCAATCCCTTAGGGACCAGCCTCGAACTCATCCCTATCCCTATCCCTAAGGTCGGCAAGCCCGAGGCGCTGACAGCGTCAGGGATGCGCCCTCAGAAACCGAGGAAATCCTCAAGATCGGCACCGAGGCAAGGTGGTGCCAAACATAGGGATAATGGGGAAACCAGGAAAAGCACCGAGACCGCTGCTCCCTGGACCTGTCCAGGGGCGCGTTCTGATCAGGACCTCGAGGCGAATCCGGCGGTGGCGACGAGGGCATCCCAGGGGGCCCAAAAAGGGGAAAACGAGGGAAGAGTAGTGGTATGGGTACCTCTCCAGAGATCCGATGTCGTGACTTTTTGGCTACGGGGTCCCCAGAAGTCTCGACCCATTCCCCAAGACCGGTTTTCCATCCTGAGTCGTCTTTTGACGGTCCCGGGGCCCGGCGAAGGCTTCTAGAGGCCGAAACTTGTGAAAAAACTCTGACTTGATTCCCCATATCCTGAGGATGGGGTTATTGTTTTTTTTGACCGCGCGGAGAACGAGAACACACCTCCCACCCTCAGGTCATCACTCTCTGACGCACTCACATGTAGACTCATTCATATTCAGACTCACATTACTCAGATGCACTCGCCCTGAAATGAATGACAAATAGGTTTCTCATGCTCGTGATCACTCATGTACAGACTCACTCGCACTTCAAGTCGCTTCTCAGACTCAATATTAATCATATTCAGGTCACTCACACACACAATCACACACTCACACTCACTCAGACTCACACTCAGACTCACTCACACCCAGACTCACACTAAGACTCACTCATACTCTGCCTCGCTCTTCCCCACTCAGACTCAGCCACACCACTTCCGCGCTCAGACTAAAACACACGTTGTGATGATGTCTCAGGCGAGGCGCTGGTTTCAGCAGTCCCAAGGGGGGCCGCCAGGGGGTATCTCACGGGCCCGTTCGTGCCCAGATTGGGAGGATGTCTCAGGCGGTTTGCCTGTTTGGGTGCTCAACCTCCTTCTCTTTCGGAGCAGTTTTCGGCGCCCTGATAGGTGTTCAAAAGAAAAGAAGGAGAAACAGGAGGAGGACAATGAGGAGGAGGAGGAGGAGGAGGAAAGAATGATGAAGCAACTAGTTAAAGTCGTCGTAGTCGTCGGCGTCTGTCTCGGCTTCGCCTTCCACATGAACTCGCTGACACTCGGACACTGAAAAAAGGACAGTGCCTCCCACCGAAGCATGCCACCACCGTGAGATGCACATCTGGGGATCTCCGTGTCGAGCAATGCTTCTTGAGTGCGTTGCACCTCGGGGTCTTCCTCCTCTGAGATAGGGATATGGCTCCAGCTGATGACTTGTCGGGAGCGGCCAAGAGGGGGGTGTCCAAGAGGGGGGGGTGCAAATCATGGCGGGCGGCATGTGCGCGGCCCAGCGGGGGGGCCAGGAACATAATGAAACAGGAAGAGGCGCCTTGAGATCTGGGGAAATATCATGGCCCCCGCCATGATATCCACCCCCCCCTAGTCATCACCCCCCTCTTTTCCGCCCCCGAACTTGGGGACCCCGCCCGCCGCCCGGGCCGCCATGCCCCGCGCCGCGCGCGCGCGGGGCGCCGCCCCGCGCGAGCGGGTGCGCCACGGAGGTCGGCCGCGCGGGCAGGCGGCCCCCCTGCGGGCAGGCGGCCGGCGGCCTCCGGGAAGGGGCGCCCAGCCGGGGCTGCGGGCCAGGGCTGCGAGAACCTGCCTGTGGTCTTCGTTTCCTCTTGGCTCCCCGGCGCAGCTTGAACTCGTTCCTTGGGCGTACCCATGCACACAACTACAGATGTGTACGGAACCAGCGCGAGCTCCGCGCGCGCTCGGGTTCTCGCCAGGTTGGATGGTCGCACTCTCGGGGACCTGTCTTATGGTACGTGTCCTCCCAGGTTTCCAGGAACCACGAAGACGGCCCAAGTAGCTTCCAATAATTCCTACGGTCCACCCACGGCGGCCTAAGAGAGACCCGAGAGGCATTTCGGGGGCCCTTCTCTTCGCCGCGGCTGGACGTAACGAGAGAGGAGGAGGAGGAGGAGGCGGAGGAGGAGGAGAAACAGGAGGAGGAGGAAGGGGAGGAGGAGGAGGAGGAGGAGGAAATGGGACGTGTTTTTTCTCCGCAAGTGTAGCCAAGCTGCTAGGCGAACTTGACAAACGAAAAAATGTTAGACTTTTTTGTGCTCAAGATCCTCGGGGCCTGTTTTGGTGCTCTTTGGGGTTTCTTGGGGACCTCTTGGGGCCTCCTGGGGCGAAGATCTCCCGCGGTTGGGGCCCTCTCGGACCGCTTGGACGTCTCTTCGGCCGATTTGGAGCCGTCTTGAGGCCGTCTTGGGCGTCTTGCAGCGTCGATCCTCTGGGCCTCTTCGGCGTCTTGCAGCGTCGGGAAGCGGAACAGGCGGAAACGCAACAATTGATCAAAAACCTAAGGACAATCAATGTTTTTCGGCCTCTTCGGGCTCTTTGGGCAAACCTCTTGGAGGCCTCTTGGGCATCTTGGGAGCATTTTTGGCCGTCTGGAGGCCGTCTTGGACCGTCTAGTGGCCTTCGGCCCATCCCGCCACCGTGCCTGGGTTGTGGGCTAGAGGCCTCTTGGAAATTCGTTTGGAGTTCGTGGGAGGCTTCCCCGGGGCCTCTTGAAGGCACTTTTGGAGGCCTCTTGGGGGCGGGGCCTCGCGGGGCCTCTAGGGGGCCTCTAGGGCGCCTCTTGGGCTCTCTTGGGGGCCTCTTGGGACCTCCTGGGGGAGGCCTCTTGGGGCGGAAGGCTCGAATTGTCGGTTCATGTTCCCTCGCTTGGGCCCCAGTTGGGGCCTTCTTGGGGCCCTCTTGGGCGATCTTAGGCGCCTCTTGGGCCGTCTTGGGGCACTCTTGAGCCGTCTTGGGACTCTCTTGCGCCGTTGTGGCTTAATCACATGCTCGACCGCAGGTGAGCGACGAAAATAAATGGGTCTTACGCGAGATGGCATAGCGACCTTACGCGGCGGCTTACGCGGGCCGCCAGCGTGGCACGCTCCATTGGAAACGGGGGTGCTCACGCGCAACCGTACGCGGGCAGCTTACGCACCAACGTCGGCGCAGACGACCCAGCTTTCTTCCGTCACCCAGGTGGCGACATCCGAACCCTATTCCCACCAACCATCGATCATCCTGATTCAATGAAGGGCGTGGGTCGGGCTCGGATTCCGCGGCGAGTCGGACACATTCCGAACTCTAATCCCCCGCCGCCCATCGAGGTGCCTGAATCGTTAATCGGCGAGGGGAGAGTTCGGACTTCGGCCACATGGGGATGATGGAGCACATCCTCTGGATCAACCTTCTGTACGTCGGCCCGACGTACTCGGTTGTGGTGTCGTCCAACCTGGAGGGGATGGACGCGAAGATCCAGTATGAATACTTTGATGAATGGGAATGTCTCATGCTTCAGTATTCTCGCAGTTACCTGTATGATATCAGTGCTTGGTTATATTATGACGAGCAATGTGAAAGTTTCAGTGGAGCTTACCATTTCAGGAGCTGCATGTAACGACTACTATATTATGTCCGGTCACTACCTCATAGTACCTGGAACAAAATACAGCATGCTCTTCATGGGAATGGGCCGACTCAGAAGAAGACAGTCCAGAAAGCGTTGGCAAGAATCACTCCTGCCAAACCACAAGCAAGAATATGTGCGGTCCTCGAGCTTCAGAGTGACCACAATGCCCAGCAAGTGTATGATCATCTAAAGAAATTCTCAGCGGATCGGATGAAGACCATTGCGGCTTTACCCACCCATGAGATCACAAAGGCCATCGACGCTTGGCTGAAAGAGCAACCTATTGGTACCGCGGCTCCAGCCAGCAAGAAAGTCGGAAAGGCTACCATGAAGACGAAGAAGAAGAAGAAAAAAGAGCCACAACCAGCAGGGTGGCAAAACACTTCTACACTGGATCCTGATGATTGGGACATTCCTGTATGCAGAGGTCTACCGAAAGATGTCAATAACATGAAGGCGGTGCACCTGGTCACAGTCGCTGAGCTACTGGAGCTGACTAAGCTCGACAGTTTCTGGCAGCGACCCGACCCGACGGACCCCTTCGGCTTTGTATTAGCGCAGGCACCGTCACAGGTGCCGAAAGATCTATACTTGATATGCGGCCAGCGTGGACTTGCGCCGGCCATCAGCTTGATGCATGTACCTCTTCTTGGGAGTGACGGCAGGCGCACTATCAAGCAGTTGTATGTATGGCAATATGGTGGAAAACAGAATGAGGGTGTTGTCCCCAAAAAGAAACCAACTAAGATCACATGCTCCCAAGATGAGCTCATGAATGTTGCTACTCTCGAGGCCCATTGCACGGAGAAGTTGTTCAAAGATCTGTACAAATTGCACAAACAAGCGACGGCAGCGCGTGATCGGCGTGCTGAGGGAGCGACAGGGCAACGCAAATATGAGTCACCACCACCGTGGCGAGTTCTGGACAATGAGTTGGCGAGGATTGTTTTGGCGAAGCTCCCTGTACAATTTCACAGCCCAGACGTGGATCTACGAGTGTGGAGTGGCAGAGTTTTCAATGATGACCAACCTGGACAAAGGATAATATCTGGATTGTTCAAAACTACGTCACAGAGAGTCCAAGCTTTGCGAGCTGAATCTGGACCAGATGGTATCATCTTTCAAAGGTCCCGTGCAGGCGGGGTATCGAACCAGGCTTTGGACGAGGAGAAGGACACAGAGGACTTCGTGCCCATCGCGCGTGGCACGACAATGACGGACGCAATCACTCAGACAGCAGCTCTGGAGGGAGGTCGAGGGCTGGGTTACAAAGCCAATGGCGCCCTCTTCTTTCGGGTATGCAAGACAAAGGCTCAGGCAGCGTGGCAAGCTCTGCAAGGGCGTGCCCCGCCTGCGCCATCACTCTATGAGATCTCCCCCCTGCCGCAGCTGGTGGAGGGCAAGCAATTGGTCAGTGAACTATCTCAGCAGCTGGGATGGCAAGCTGAATGTGTCAGTCTACGCAAGAAAGGTAAAGGATCACGAGCGACTCCAGTTATCCGCGTACGAGCTGCAGGGCCACCGCAGGTTTCCGACCTACTCTTGGGTGACATCCAAGCAACGATCAATGTAGTCAAGAAACCA